GGGGATCAGCAGGCATTGGGGGAGTCACTGTTCCCCCGAGCACCGCCAGGAGTGACCAGGAATAATGGTCACAAGCTGGCAGAGGGTAGGTTTAGGTTGGACATCAGGAGGCGATATTTCACGGTCAGGGCAGCTAGGGTCTGGAACCAACTTCCAAGAGAGGTGGTGCAGGCTCCTACCTTGGGGGTTTTTAAGAGGAGGTTAGATGAACACCTTGCTGGGGTCATTTGACCCCAGTGCTCTTCCTGCCATGGCAGGGGGTCGGACTAGATGATCTGCTCAGGTCCCTTCCGACCCTAGAAACTATGAAACTATGACCTGTAGATGCACCCGGTGAGTAGTGTTTGTTTAGACCAGCCATGTAGCTATATCCTAAGGCTAAGTACAGACAGTCAAAAAGCCCTAGCAGAATTGATTCAATCTTTGCAGGTTTCTCTAAGCAGTGTAGATTGAACAGATAAGGAACTGAACTGACATCCAGTTTTCAGTTTGGAAAAGCAGGCAGAAGCCTGCACTAACCCAGGCCAGAAAGCAGAAGGTGCTGGAGTATGCTTCCCAACCTGCAGGCCAAGCTGAGGCTAGCTAAGCACATGTCCTCAACCCCCTGCGTCCTGCGTCCTGCCCCCTCCTCCCTCACCACAGGGAGAGGAAGTAGCCCTGGTCCAGGTAAAAAGCCAGGCTCTGCCCTACTCTCCTGCCAGCCTCACAGAAGTTTAGGGCTGAAAGGGACCTTGTGAGATCATTGGGTCCAGCCCCCCTGCCCTGGGAGGGAAAGACTGCTGAGGCCAAATAACCCCAGCAAGGTGTGCATCCAGTGCCTCCACTGCTGCTGGCTACTATCTGAGCCAGATAAGCAGACCCAAGCTAGGGTGACCACCTGTCCCTAACTGGACAAGACAGTCCCACAATGGGAACATCGAAACCTGGTCCAGGGCTGTGTGACTCCAGGACAGTATTTGTCCTGGATTCGCAGACTTATGCAGGAATCCATGGGAAACAGTGGGTTTCGCTTTGCAGACTGACAGCATTCCAGCCTGCAAGGGGCTGCTGGGAGTGGGATGCAGAGGGCACTACATACATGTGCACACCCACAAACGTGGCCAGGAAATAGCAATGGCTGGGATGTGTGGAGAGTAGCTCCCTGCAGGTAAGTCTATGGGAGGGAGGAGATTTAGGGGGACAGAAGTGGGGGCAGATCAAGATCCCCACAGTGAGGAAGTGAGTAGGGCAGGGGCTGGTCATGCCTAGCCAGGGCAGTGCATGGGACTGGGGAGGGGTGCAGAAAGGAGCTGTGGGCAGCTCATCTGGGGGGCCCATGCCTCCCCAGATTTGTGCACAGGATGGGGACAGATGCAGGCTGCCTGCTGTGAGCTTTGGATTCCCTGACCTGCAGGACCTGCTGCCCTGCCCCTGGGGGCCCCGCATTAGCTACACCCCGATGGCAAGGTACCCCCTGTCTGCCCAGCAGCAGCAGCGGCAGCATGGAGCTGTGCCCCTTGCTGCTGCCAGGCAGGCAGGGCGTGCATGTCTGGAGCAGACAGCTTCAGCCAAAGCTAACCTGCATGGTGTGGGTTTGCGGGGGAGGTGCAAAGCATCCTGGCATGCTGGGGGACTGTGAATTAGCTTAAATCTGGAGGGGATCTGTGTGTAATAAACCAGTTTAACCTAAATCAGTTAAATCTGATACTACAATCATCAAGGTTTACCTTAAACCAGTTTGGGCCATTTTGAAACTGGTTTATGTTCACTGAACTTCTATTCTATTACAGCAGGGGTCAGCAACCCCCAGCACGAGTGGCAAGCATGGCACATGAGGCCATTTTGCTCGGCACACCACAGCCAGCCCTGGCTCTGGGTAGCTGCTTCCAGCAACAGAGCCCAGGCTGCTCCCAGCAGGGCTTGCAGCATCCCAGCTGCCTGCTACTAACAGTAGTAGTAGCAGCCCAGATTAGCTGGGCTCCACAGCTCCATGCTGGCAGTAACTGCTTTCTTTTGCACATGTGCACCTCAGAGAAGACAGTGGGGCAGCGCAGCCCATCCTAAGGTGCCCATGCAGTTGCCGCCAGCATGGAGCTGACGCTGGAGCTGTGGAGCCCAGTACAGCTGTTTGCAGCCTGCTTGCTGTAGCTGCCCAGAGCCTGGGCTGGCTACAAACAGCTGCACTGAGCTCTGGAACCCTGCCATCACCTCCGTGCTGGGAGCAGGGTAAAGAGCAGGGCTGTGCTGCCTCAGGCCCCTCCCCCCCGCCTTCTCCGACATGCAGGTGCACGCACCAGTACGGAGCCTCCTGGCTGCAGCCGGCCCTGGCTCTGGGTAGCTGCTGCCAGACAGGAGCCCAGGCTGCTCCCAGCAGGCAGCTGGGCTGCTGCAAACCCTGCTGGGAGCAGCCCAGGCTCTGGTAGCTACCCAGAGCCGGGGTAGCTGCTGACAGCCAGCCACAGAGCCCAGGCTGGGGGGCAGGGGCAGCAGGGCTGGGGGGCAGGGCACAATCAGGGCATCTTGCCATGTACCCCTTGCCCTCATTTTGTTTTTCTGACATGTGTGGACTCCGGCACCTTCCAAGGTGGGCACTGTGGTGTTTTTCGGCATTCCGGCCAAAAAACATTGCCTACCCCTCTGTTACAGGTTTAAATCGGTTTCCAGTCACTTATACTAGTTTATGTGCAACTTCTGTCCCTAGCTTAAGAGTCTCTATTTGAGGGAATGTATACTTCATTTGGCGTCAGACTGTTTGTGTTCACAGCATACAGCTAATTAATTTTAATTGTGTCTGAGAGAGAACAGAGATTTAATGAAATTGGTACAAATATGTAGAACACAATTTCCCATACCTTTGCTTTGGCATCCGCTTTGTCATCTGCTTTTGCTGCCAATAGCATGAGTCTTAGCACCAGGGAAATACTGAAAGGGAAATTGCCTTTCAGTTGAGGTACATTGGATTTTATAAGTTTTTCAACCTTGGGCATCGGGATATCATAGAAGAACACATTTCCTATCAAATCTTGTCCACGTCTTCCAGCACGGCCAGACATCTAAAAAGGGTTTATTGGTAAAATCTGAATATTGATAGTTCACAAAAATTCAATTCTATTTTTTAAAGTTTTTATATAGTCCTTCTATCTATGGTATCTTTGGCTCAAAAGTACTTAGACAGAGTTATGATATACAATCCAAGTTTTTAAAAAGATCTTGAGAAGACTACAGTCAGGTAATACAAATGTCTATAATGCCAATTTCCTTGTCACCCAAACAATAATTACACAAAGTATTTTCCCCCTACAGTCACTTAAACTTGTCTCATTATGATTATGGGATTACTTTGTACCTCTCCTGCCAAAGGATCCCAGAATATTTTATAAATGTAAAGTATGTTTGTTTTTTAAAAGGTCATCATGGGATACCCCATTTCTTGTTGCTAAATAAATGTAAACAAATATAAACAGGTTATGTGATCTTTTTTCTTTAACGTCAGTCTTTCAAACTAAATCTAACTGGACTTTTTCTTTCGCACATGCCACAACTTTTAATAAAGCTTCTCCAGGCCAAATTATGTTTTAATTTAGAACTGAACACCTCTGTCAGTTACGTCTGTACTCCTTCAGTATACCTAAACAATCTTCCATTGGTTTGCACAGGTATGCTGAGGGGACACACAAAAATTCAACTAATCTTATAATTTGGGAACAGTGACAACATTACATTGCTAATGAAAGAACCAAATAGTAAACATCATTAACCACCAGGTGGCTCAGAGTATACAGAGGAATACATCTGAAAAAGAACATACTTTTTGCCCTTGCATGTAATGAAAACATGGGTTTACTAGACATACTGTACAAAGGATATATGGTATATTTTCATACCTGTCTATAATTTAGTGCATCTAAATAGACAGAATCTTCAGAGAAGACAACAGATTTACATGGCATATTGATGCCTAAGGCCAACGTTGAAGTAGCTGTGACCACCTAGAAAAAAGGCAAATGCAAGTACATTGGTTATAAGTAAACAGTAGCAAGATGTCTTTCTTTTTAATTTTGAAAACTTGGTTAATCTTATATAAAAATCTATCTTTAAAAACCAAGTTACACTGAAGTCAATGGCAGTTCTGTCCTTAATGTTAATGGGATCAGTATTTCACCAATGGATTTAACAGAATTAGAAATGCCTTTATATTTTCCTTATTTAAAGTCTTAATGTGTGTGTACATGTATACAGAACTTTATATACTTTTTAGATACAAATAGTTATAAAACAGATCATTTTATGCATACAGCCATCTACTTCTGCATGTACTTCATAGTATTCTTCTAATTCAATCATGCTAAGGTTAAGTAGCAACACATAAATAATATTTGACAGAGATAGAAATTGTGATCTACAACATTAGGTGCAAAGCAGATATGATAGATTTTATCATGAAAGATTTTAAATGTGCAAATACAATTTTATACAAACTGTTTCACAGATAATTAACAAAATACAGAGGCTATCATAGGAAAAGTATCAATACTGTTTTTCTCAGCTTTCCTTTTATTTTCATTACTCTCTTTAACCTCACTTTCCTATGCGAGAAAGATATGCTGTTTTTCCATTCCTGTCTCCTCCACAATGCCTATTGCCTAATCATCTTCCCCATATTCTCCTATATTTATGTGAATATCCACAAATAGGCTGATTCTAAAACAGCCATCATATTTGATAGAAGTGGACTCTGGAAATGGTACAATAACCATAATAGTGTCAGGAAAATTAAATATAGACATAGGTTTACCTACCTCGTTTTCTACAGAAATGTGTTCACATTTTCTGATTTAGCATCCTACTCTTCAGAATGGTAACATTTAGTCTTAATAAAGGTTCTATAGCAATCAATTTACTGATATTGATTGGCTATGAACAGGGAACCAGCAAACGGGGACTGCAAACAGGGGAAGCAGTTTGCAGGTAGTTGCTGAAGGCAAAAGGAGGAAGAAGGAGAGAAGCCAGGCACTACATCCTGCCCAGGAGAGATAAGTGATCCAGCTGCCTGTACCTTTGGTTTTGCTGAGTGTTTGTTTGGTGGGCTGTGTGTGTTTGGGGGGGGTGTGCTCTGAGAAGCTGGGAGTGATTGCTGACTGCTTTGTAATTGCTGATTGTTGTGGGATTGCTGACTGGTCCTGACAGAAACCCTAACAAAGGGACTGAGTCAGCCCAGGCCCAGAACAGTATAAAAGGAAACTCCCCAGGCAACCAGGCAGCCTGTGATCAGGAAGTCAGTGAACAGGGACTGCAAACAGGGGAAGCAGTTTGCAAGCAGTTCCTAAGCCAGTTCGTGGATAGTGGCATAGCTTATTACCATACAATGGTGGGGACCACCTTGGCCTCAACTGGTGCTCCCTTCCCTTGCACCATGGAGGCTTACACCGAGATGGAGCCCCTGGCACCAGGTTGTAGCAGCTGCCGGACATGGCTGCCAGCCACTGGGAATAGGAGCAAGCCCCCCCCCACCATGTGTGGTGTATGTTCCTTAGTGAGGTCCCTGTAGTCCCAGGTGACTGACTTCATGCCAACAGGGCCCATAAGCAGGAGATTGATTACTATAGTCAGGGTCTTCTCCTGAAGAATGAAGAAAAGAAGATAGAGGAGAAGGTGGCCAACAAGAAGGCTAGATTAAAAGACCCACCCAAAGCTACTTGGAAGACAGTCGTTTTGGGCTCCAAGACATGCAGGACTAGGGCTGCACCTCCCCTGGCATTGCACAACAGGTATGCTCCCCTCACCACACATGATGAGGCTCCGAAGGAGACACCAGAGAAGGTGGGTAGTCAGTGAACTGCCACCCCCAAGATGAGAAGCAGGGTGGTGGCGGTGGGGGACTCCCTTCTGCAGGGCACTGGGACCCGGACCCTCTAGCCCATGAGGTCGGATGCCTCCCTGGGGCCCACTTCCATGATGTCACAGAGAGGATCCTTAGGCTTGTCCAGACCTCCAACCACTACCCCATGCTCCTCATACACATGGGCATGAAAGTAGTAATCTGTAATCTGTAATACATGTGGGATCAGAAGTAATCTAGTCCTGGTCATGACTGACTACAGAGCTCAGGCTGCTGGGCTCAATGGGTCAGGGCCACAGGCAGTCTCTTCCTCTGTGCTCCTGGTTGTAGGCCATGAACCTAGGAGGGAAGGATGTGTCAAAGAATTGAACCGATGACTCCGGCAGTGGTGGTACCAAGAGGGCTTCGGATTCTTTGACCACAGTGCACACTTCAGGGAGAATGGACTCCTGGGAAGGGACGGCATGTGGAGGGGTAAGTCCCTGTTCTCCGCCAGGATTTTCTAGATAGGGCTTTAAACTAAGATTGCTGGGGGATAGGGAAACACTGACTGGAGCATGCCCGGGGACTGGCGCACAAGAAAACTCCAACATTAGGGACACTAGGAGAGCCACTTTTGCAAAAGCTAAGCAAATGGTTCTCCCTCAGTGTGAAAGGAAATCGAGGGCCTCAGTTGGACCTGTACACTACTGTCAGGACTCAGGTGCTTGTACACTAATGTCAGGCGCATGGGGAACAAGCAGGAGGAGCTAGCCCTCCTACTCTCCAGTGGGCAGTACAATCTATTAGGGATTACGGAGACCTGGTGGGACTCCTCACGTGACTGGAACATAGCCATAGAGAGCTACACCCTGCACAGAAGGGACCAAGTAGGAAAGAGGTGGTGTAGCTCTCTGTGAGGGAGCAGTACACCTCCTTGGAGGCTGACATCAGCTCCAAAGAAGAGCGGCTCGAAACCCATTGGGTCAAACTATGGGGGGTAGGGGGGAGGAGGCACAGTGAGAGAGACCTTATTGTAGGTATATACTACAGACTCCCAAACCAGGGGGAGAAGCTTGATCTGGAGTTCTCTCAAACTGACAGAGATCACGCACGCATGGGACATGGTCATCATGGTGACTTCAATTACCCAGACATCTCTTGGGAGGAACACTCGGCTAAGTTGGATCAGTCGCACTGCTTCCTGACCTGTATCGAATAGCTCTATCCAATTCAGGAAGTGCACAGGCCAACCAGAGGTAGCACTTTCCTAGACTTGGTCTTGGCCAAAGGAGATGATCTGGTGAGCAAATGGAAGATAGAAGATAGCCTGGGCAACAGCAACCACGAAACCAACGTGTTCAATGGCCATCAAAAGGCAGGCAATCAGTTAACAGGATTGAAGTTTTGGACTTCAGAAAAGTGAATTTCAGCAGGCTCGGAGCAATGGTAGGGGAAGTGTTGCACGACCAGGGACCAAAACTGAAATGAAGTGCACAAAGAGTGGTCATCCCTCAAGAACATGCTCCTCGAAGCACAAAAGAAGTCTATTCCTATGCAGAGGAAAGGTGGCAGAATGGGTGGTAATCCCTCTTGGCTTAATAGGGATATGGTCCTCTTGAAAAAGAAGAGAGGCATATAAACAATGGAAGCTTGGGACAATCCCCAAGGAGGACTATATAACAACGGCCCATGCTTGTAGGGACCAAATTAGAAAGGCTAAGGTGGCGACTGAACTTAAAATAGCTGCAGAAATCAAGGACAACAAGAAGTCCTACTTTAGGCATGTGGGGAATAGGAGGAAAACAAATGGAAGCATGGGGCCATTACTTAACTCAGAACAGCTGGTTACCGACACTCAGGAGAAAACTGAACTCCTGAATGACTACTTTGTTTTGGTATTTCACCGGTTCAGAATGGGCATGGTGGGAATGACCGCCTTCCTACTGTTGACAAGCTGGTGTGTGATCAGTTAGAAAAGTTAGGCCTTTATAAGTCAGCATGACCAGATGAACTTCATCCGAGAGTGCTGAAGGAGCTGGCCAGAGTCATTGAAGGACCTCCAGCAAAACTCTTCCAAAATTCGTGGCACTCAGGGGAGGTCCCTGAATACTGGAAGAGGGCCAATGTTGTGCCCATCTTCAAGAAGGAGAGGAGAGGACCTGGGCAACTATAGGCCAGTTAGCCTAACTTCTGTCTCAGGGAAAATCCTGGAGAAGTTCATCAAGGAGTTAATGTGCAGTACGCTTGCAGAAGGTAGGATTCTGAATGACAGTCAGCATGGCTTCACCACAGGCAGGTCTTGTCTTACCAACCCCATCTCCTTCTATGACCAGGTACCTCGCCACCTGGACACGAGAGCACAGGTTGATGTTGTATACCTAGACTTCCAAAAGGCCTTGATTTGGTATCCCATGATGTTCTCATAGGAAAATTGGAGGATTGCAGGCTTAACTACTCGACTGTTAGGTAGATAGGAAGCTGGCTGCAGGGTTGAACCCAGAGAGTTCTAATGAACAGATCCGTGTCGTCTTGGCAAGTGGCCAGTGGTGTCCCTCAAGGGTCCATGCTTGGTCCAGTACTTTTCAACATCTTTAGCAATGATTTGGATGTGGTGGTTAAAAGCTCACTGGCCAAATTATGTGGGAGTGTGGAAACGCTTGAAAATAGGCTTCAGATACAGACAGACCTAAACAGGCTGGCAAGTTGGGCGGATTGGAACCAGATGAAGTTCAGCATTGAGAAGCGTAAAGTGCTCCACCTAGGGATGAACAATCCCCAACATATTTACAGGCTTGGTGGAGCCAAACCAACTGAAAGGGACCTAGGGATAATAATAGACCATAATATGAACATGAGCCATCAGTGCAATGCTGTAGCCAGCAGGGCAAACACCACTCTGGCATGCATCAACCAATGCATCTCAAGCAAAATCAAGGAAGTGATTCTATAACAAGAAGCCCCCTCTTGCCCGCACCTCCCACTTTGTGCTTCTTGCCTGCCACCCTCCCCACCCAAAATTGTGTATTTCTTTTCCTTCTGAGTATTGGCAGAGACTTAGCACACTCATTGCATGGGTGTGACAAGGCTCAGAGCTGAAGTGACTTTTTATAAGAGAAACCTACAAACTACATCTACATATTGATTGAGCTAAGTATTATTAAAGAAAAC